GCACCTTGTCCTTCTTTCTTTCCCCGTGAGCAAGAGACACACTAGCCTTGTGTGTTGCGTGGATAGGCTTTTTTATTCAGAAAACCCCAAAAAATTCTAATCTCATAAGTCATAAATCAAATCCGGTTTGTCCTTAATTCCTTTAGGCCTAAAAATTGCTAGATTATCATAACAAAGAGAATAAGTAAACCTCTCCCTCTCATAGGAACCTTTGACTAGATAAAGTATAGAGGAGTTGCTGACTTCTGACTTCTTCAGTTCAAGAGTGTTAGGTTTTGCAGCAGGGGAGGATGATTTTACTTTACAGATTTGTCTCTGTTTTACTCCGTATTAGTTAACTTTAGATTTTAAATAATTAGTCTGTATATGATTATTATATCATTTACTTCTATATACTATGTAGTTTTAATCTTCCCTTTGTATATATTCAAGCTTCAACCATCTTCTTTTCAATATTGTTTCTTTTTTAAGGAATAAACATAAGTATCAATTTTTGTGGGAAGAATATGTACGGGACGAGATTAATTATCATTTTTATAGGAAAAGCATTTTTTACTTAAACCATCTGGCTATAAATATATATTTATATTTTGACTTGTGAATTTCTCTGTATACTCTATTCCCTGCATATCTATATAGTTATTATCCTCCCTATTTACATTCAGTGATTCTGTTGCTGCTCTACTCTAAGCCACAAGGAAACAAATCTATGAATGGGTGCTTTATCTGCTAATAGCAATTTAAAAATGGAAAACCTCTTGTCCTAAATTTTTTTTCTGTGTTGTTTGTTGTTTATATGTTGGAAATTCGACAGGGTTTTTTTATACCTTTAGGACTTCAAAGTTGGAATCAGATCCTCAGTGAGAGTATGGATGCATTTCATGAAGTGTTCTTGAGATGTCAAGTGGTTTCCTTTGATGTCCTGCCGTCCTGGATCGCTATTCTTTCATTGGATTGTGCTGCTTTTGGATAATTGTCCTTGAAGGTTAGCACGAATGAGAGTATGCCAATTGCAGTGTTGCTGATACTCAAGGACATAATTGGCTTGGAATAGTTCACAATAACTTAGTTTTGTTGATTCTTTGAGCGATTTTGATGTATCTTTTACTCGAGTGTCTTTAGATATTTAGATACGATGTAAATCACTTTTCTGACATTGAATATGTGATGATTGTGAAGTTTTTCAGAATGCGGATTCGTGGTTAGTTTTCACTCTGTAATTTTCATTTAGTTAAGGAGCTTGGAGCTTAACCATAACAATTTTGTCATGGTGAGATTCATTAGATGACTTCGAATCTTCCCCAAACTTATTCAGATTTCAACTCCCATTTTTGCTTAACCAGGCTACTAGACACTTTTCATTCGCCATTAAATTTTACTTGAAGTTTGAGATGATATATGTATGTCTCTAAAACCTGATAATATGGAGAAGGGTGATAGGCAGCATACAATTCCCAAGAATATAACCTGTAGGATTGGAAGAAGAAGCAAAATGGAGATGGAAAATGAAGGTGGAAAATGAAGGTTCAACACAAAGATGTGGTGTGAGATAATCATAGTGACAATCCTCACCGCGACAGGATGCTAAGTTTGGAATGGATTGAAAAATATATGCTCAGTTAGTTATTAGTATCATTTAACTCTCAATACATATGTTTTACTCCCATTTGTAGTCATTTCTCTTCTCTCAATGTTATATAATTCATTTATACAAGCAGTTTTCTTCATTACATTACTCATATGAAATGAGACCATAAAGAGTTACATCTGGGATATAATAATTCCAGTGATGAGCTGCAAATTATGATCAAGAAAGATAAACATCCTATAGCAAAAACGATCTGAGATAGAAGCATGAAGTTGATCTTGGATGACTTTACTCTGCGTAAATTATTCAAGACCTTCCCTCTACAAATCTGGGAATTTGATTCTAAAAGAAAGAAAATATTGCAATTTCATTGAAATTGATTGTGTAGCCTTCTTCATTAACTCGCTGCTGCAAAAGAAAGAGAGTATTATGTTAGTTTAAGTTTCAACATGAAAGTTCAAAAAGAAAAACAACAAGAAACTTGAAGGCCATTTGACAAGAGTTATTTGGCCGAAATTGTCGAATGTAGTCCATATCTTTTAAGAATAAGAAGAGTGCTTATCACACTCATTTCAGCCAAACAAACCACTCATAACCCACCTGAATAGCTCATCTCCAGTGTGCCAAACTAAACTGGCAGTATCCTGGTACACCAAATTAATCAGCATCTTCGACATTCGGATCCCTGATTAAACATATCGCCCAGTTTTCTATATAGGTCCTCATATGAGCTCAATCAAAAAACTCAATATGTCGTCCAGCATCACCAGAATCCACAAACACCTCACAATAATGACCTGTAATCTCCAAACGATTAATAACTTTCTACTCTTTTTTCCAAGGAATCACACATTATGAATGCTACACTCGAAAAAATAAAATTATTAAAGTCAAAAAGATAGTAAGCCTGTGATTTAAAATGTGCTAGAGAACTTATGCCTAGAAGGATATCAAATTTACTATAACTGGACTGAAAAGATACTTAAAAGACACTGAAAATCATCTAGTGAGTGACCGAAGGGGTGTAAGAGTATAGTACTAAGAAACCTAACCATCTAAGGTTTAGAAACCCTAGGCTGTAGTCGATTAAATTGCCAGTTATTGTCCAATATATATACCGTTTGTGTTTAAAATAAAAAGATGCAAGTAAATGTGATTTCAATAAAGTAATATTGTAGCAGTTGTTTTCAACAAAAAGGATATTAAGAGAAAAAATACCACCTTTTGAGCCACCTAAACTACCCGCTTTGTACATATGCATATGCATATGCATATACATATACCTATATCTTTAGCGTAACCATAGTAAAAATCTGAATAATCAAAGAATTCCAATCTAATCATATACCACACACTTAGTATCTTAATCTGTATGCGATCATGTGTGGAAATATTAACACACATATGCTTGATGTTTCAGTCTCATCACATCCACTACATATAGCCAACTAGCAAAGTGGGTCTGTAAGTGAAAAAAGGAAAGTAAATTATTATGGCTCAGTTGTATCTACAAATAGTTATAATAAACTTAGAAACATAAAAATAAGGTAGATGAAAGCATGTTAAATCTAAAGAACTTAGTAGGTAAACCAACAAAAAATGAAATGACTTGAGTTGTATGAAGCATACATGACTTAAACTGATAGAATGTTATCGATTTTGGTGTTCTAAAACCCCTTCACTTTACAAGCTCCTGTAGATTTGTCGTTAGTTTTAAGAGTACAATGTAGTATACAACCAAGAAGCTTAGACGTGCTGGAGCAAAGATCATAGTAGAAGGTCTATGAAGTATTAGTAGTTAGCCCATTCACAAACTGGAATGATTGAAACTGTCAAAGAGACAAACTTGGAGGAGCCAATGACCTCATGCTAGCTGCAAAAAGCTTTATTCGTAAGGAATCCATTCTTCTTCGTTTTGAGCTCTTAGCCAAAAACATCTAGACATTAAAGTGTACTTGGAAAATCAACATGAGATCTTGAGTACCTAACATTAAAGGTCTACTCATTCAAACCCAGTTGTGTTTCCATCTCAAGTCTACTCTTTTTATTTTACTTTTTCGTTACTTTTACTTTAGTTAGTTTACTTTAGTTAGTTTACTTTTTTGTCTTTTTTCTTTTTTTCTTTACAGGAAATGTGTATTGATATATGTTCTAAAATGATTACTCATGGAGGTTATTAAAATGAATTGTGTGTTATACGATATTGAATATACCGTTTAAAGTAAATGTGCATTGATGTAGCATTAATGAACACTTGAGCACATTGGAGATTTGAAATGAGTTTTTGAATTTTTCGATGCTCATTTTGTAAATTGTATATACTCATTCAGCTTTGGTTGTATGCTCATTTTAAAATGACATACATTATATTATATTCGCATATTGAAATTCATAAGACTTGGTTATAGATATAATTCAATAAGTTTTTATAAAAGAAAAAAAAAACAAAAAGAGAGTGAATCTGAAGTTATGAAACAGAATTCACGATGCTTAATATTGGAATCCTAATACTCAACAGAATAAGTATGATGCTCATTAAACGTTCATTAATGTTCATTTAACAAAAACTGTGATTTTCATCTCAATAGATGAGGTCTAATGCTCAATTCAAATGTCATGATGTTCGGGTAACAAACCTTACGATTTTCATATCAATGTGCACTTTGAAAGTTATGTATGCTCATTTGGTACTGATGTTATGCTCATTTTTAAAATGTCATATCAATGCATATTTCAAAAGTATCATATTACATTAGATTCATATATTGGAATTGATATTAGTGGATTATAGATATAATTTAATAAGTTTTATAAAAGAAAAAATAAGAAAAAGAACAAAAAATAGAAGATATAAAGCAGAGATCATGATACTCATTGTTAGCCTCTTAATGCTCAATAAATTAAGTTGGATGCTCACTAAAAGTACAATATTGCTCATTTAGCGGAAGCCGTTATTTTTCGCCTAACTTACAAAAATGACACCGAATTTTTTTTGGCATGTATGATTTATTGGGCTGTCTTCTATAGTTGGGCCGGGTGTACATACACCCGGATGTATGATATAGGAGCCCGCATTCTCATTTATTTTTGTGTAGTCTACAACGGGTTTCTGCCACCTCGACTCCAGCTGCCACCATAGTAGTAGGCTAGTAGCAGCTGCTTACAATAGAGCATGGTTCTCTCCAAACAATCCCATCTCTCAATTTAGAGATGTTCCAAAGGAGCACAATAAAACAGAAAGCTTCCTCATCCAAACAACTAAAAGCTTTCTGGACTCCCATTCACCGTGAACTACCCTGACAGTATTATATACACTTGATAAACAAATGTGTAGAGATATGACATGATAGAGATAAACGCATAATTATCGCTGGACATTTAAGTAGTGCACATCAGCACATATGACATGATAGAGATAAACGCATAATTATCATAATGAAAAGTCTTATGTTTTTTGTATAAAAAAAATTCAAGACTAGTCCCATTTTTTATTTAAAGATCTGTCAGATTGTGAATTATCAAGAAACGCTTGACCCCCAAAGCTACATAGTTTAAACTACGGAGTATTATTTATATGGTACATAGAGCTCATGTTCACCATCAACTGTCAATCAAACTAGTAACACCTCCTTAATCCCACCGACAAACCCTTCTTTAAACATCTTTAGTCAATCCAGAAAAATCAATGTCTCCATTGGAAGTACTCACTCCAGTAGAAGATTCCTTCGAGGGGTTGCCTTCCTCGAGTGGTATACGTCGACGACCCCAGGCTGGGAATGATTTAGTATTATTACTGTCGTTGTCTTCATAAGCATGGGGGAGTCCAAATGAACCAAAGAATCCATTCATTGTCTGCTCCGCTGCATCAAAGAAACGGTCAAGACCGCTGAAGAAGTTGTGTTCCATGGCTTCAATGTCACCACGCAGTCCGGGAAGAAAAGGCCCTTGCTGTGATGAATCCAAAGGGAAACTTTTAGTCATTTGGCTTGTCATGTCTTCCTCTGTGTATTCTTTGTTTGATTGCACCATCTCAGAAGGCCTGTACAAACCAAAAGCAAAAAAGCTTAACAAAGGTAATTAAGGACATGTTTACTTCGCATGTTGTTACTAAGCGGTGTTTATTAAGACATGTGTTAGTAAACAGTGCTTCACTGTTTCAGATTTGTAAGATTTTGTTGAATTCTCGAACTACTATACTCCCTTCTTCCCAATATATTTTTCTCACTTTCCTTGTAATCTGTTAAGGAAAGAGTTGTGTGGTTCACATCAATTCTCTCCTTGCTAAAAAGATCTCAATAGCACAATTTCATTACATAAAAACAGTGCAGGAAGTAGAGAGGAAGAACAGATTGGACCGGGGGGGGGGGGGGGGGGGGGGGGGGTAGCCTAGAAATCCCAGCCTCCACAATAGTGTCAACTGTCAAGTTCAGGGCTAACATCAAGAGCTATTCTATGAAATTTAGTTCTCTACAAAGGTTATGATGAAACAAATTTCTGACGTATGACATATTCCATTTCTGGGGCAATAGAATTGTTCCAAACTAGGGACTTATTCTTGGACAGAGAAGTATGAGTTACAATCACTAGATGCAGTTCCTATAGAAACATCTCATACAATTCGGCAATTTACTTAGGTATACATGGAAACCTCAAACTACTAAATACCTAAAAAAATTATGCTGCCTATACCAAATATACATTTGTCAAATGGGAATAATAAATCGAGACTTCCCACAACAATGCCTACATGTTAATTACTGTACAAGGTCTATGATTCTTGTTAACCTCACACCAACGGCTTAACTGCTTAAGTAGCCCCATTATGTTGCTTCAAGCTATCAACAAAATACTTCATATTATACTATAAGCCCACTGAGAGGGTTGCTTACTTGATTCGCTTAGGGCATTGAGCAGGTTTCAAGATGAAGCTATCTTCAGCCTATCAATCATCAATAGTGAAACCAGTACTACTATACAGTCCCTGCATCCAACCATGTCTTTCCAAATGTTTTCAAAATTCAACCCAAAGTCTAGATCCGTTTGGTTATCTTGTTTTTTGGTTTACTAGTCTTATGAGCAAACTTTTTCACCAAACACGTGGCTTTTAATTTCACGCGCTGAGTTGTATAATAATCAAAATAAGTAAGGTTGAAGTTATTTTTCTATCTGGATTAGATGAAGTTACTATAGAGGACCATTTTAACTATTTTTCAAATCCATTTTTCTTTACTTTATTAATAAAATATACGTAGTATTTAAAATGCATAGTATAATTTTTTAAAAATTCAGCAAAATCGACCAATCTAGCTACTTCATCCAAAACTTTCGGTAGAGTCGGTCAATTCAACCGATTTAGCCCACTTTGGTGTTATCAAATGGGCTCTTAATGTTTTACTCCGTATTATTATTATTTTCCTTTTTGGGTAGTCCCAAAAAACTATGCAAATTTCCCTTTTAATTAATTATTTTGTGATTATTGTTATTTCTCTTTCTTCTGCACAAACTTCAGCCACACAGTTTTTACTTTATTATTTTTTCGCGACAACTTTGTCAAAGTTTTAAGGGACAAGGATAGTATGACATAAGGAGACCAGCCAATAAGCTCCTTACTGAACCGCTATTCTCTCCGTCATATCACAATTCACATGTCCTGCCAAGTATCGACAGATCCGTGTACGTCTTAGATTCCATTAATCTATTAGAGATGGCTATTCAAGCCGAAATGTATTTCTTAGAGATTCCTTGTTACACTGACCTAATTGTACCTGATATATATACATGAAGATCCTACCACGGTTATTGTATTTCTTAGAGATGCAGTGCCTGTTTCAGGTATGCGTATCTTCTAGCAGACAATGCACAATGAGTACAATTGAAATTAACTCTCACAGAAATCATAAAAATAATCACCAGAAATCCAAAATAACCAAAATAACCAGAGTTTCGATTTGATCCAAGTGAATTCAATTTTCGACAAGTATAAACAAGAAGGATAGAGAAACTTCCGTTCTTTTTTCCTCATACAGAGTATGTAGGTTTCTCACCTTCCAACGCAGTCCTTGAATATCTGCTCTGTCTTTTCGCACTTTCGGATGAACTTGCCAGGTTCAGACTCCTCTGTTCGGCACTGCGTCCTTACGACTTTCCGGGTGGCGCATTTACCGCCGTCTCTCTCGTTTGACCTGCTAGGGTTAACGGAATCGTTGTTGATATCATAGCCGGAGACGTCACGTGAGCTGTGAGAATCGTCGTCATCGTCCTGCCAAACCCAACCCATATCTACTGCGTGTTAGCCAATTCAAGAAAACTACCGGATATAGCCAATTCAAGAAAACTAGAAGGTTATCTCGGCATTAATAATGGTGACTTATTTCAGGATCTTATACATGTGTGCAAGGTCCAGCCTTATTTCAGGATCTTTAACCTCCACACCGCCGCTGCGGGTTTCAAACTGAGTTACCCGTGTGTTGGGGATGTGAAATTGGAATTGAAAAAGAAACGGGGAATCCTCACAATAATGCAACTATAATTCAGGACTAGGTAAAATTGAAAAGTCAAGTTTTAATTTAGTACAAACTCGTATTGGCACGTTTTTTTTTACTCCGATGGTCGTCTGGGGATGGGGTTGGGGGAGCCTGGAGTAATCTAGACTGAAACTCATTCCATTGAGTTTCGAATCCGAGACCTCCCATAAGGAAGAGTGAGTCGACGACCAGCTGGACTGGACCGCTTCCTCACTCGTATTAGCACGTTTAAAACGCTAATTTGGCAATAATTAGCGTTTGTGCGGTAAATTAAAGGTGAAGTCCAACCCTTAGCCGCTGCGCACTTTGATTACTGTCGCTCCCCTAGCTGCCCACTTCAGCGCAGCTCCTGCAGTTGAGCGCAATGTCAATTTCCAGCCCTGCAAATCCGCCGCCATCGTTTCATAGATCAAGGTCACTCCTCCACCTCGGCGGTACCCGTGGACGAAGGCCGTTCCTTGTTCACCGGTTGACAACTTCAGGATGACAACACAGTCCCCTATCGCGCTACTTTCGATGTGTCCATGTATTCCAGGTGGGAGTCCCTACCGATAGTGAAATCCCTCGCCACCAGCAACTCCAGTCAAACCTCCAATGGAGACGAAGTTCGAGGCCACAAAGCCCCAGGGTGCACCAGTAGAAGAGAGTCGGAGGTCCTCCCACGACCTAGTTCAAGACGCCCCTTCCATTTCTCTTCGCCGACTTTGGATACGAGCACCACTGTTGGTTTTTCTCCCAACCCTTGAGATGGAATCTCAGTGAAGATAGTGGGTAGTATTGACTTCTACCGAGCAAAGAGATGGCTTAGGTCAAACTTTGTGAGCCAACAGGCCACATTTAATCCACATTTAAACATGCTAATACAATTTCGAACTAAATAAACACTGTTTTTTAATTTTATGTACTTCTAAATCAGAGTTGCACTAGTGTGTACTCTTTACTCCACCTTTCTCAATTTGATGTACTACCCTTTTCTCTATATACTCAGCATTTCTCAGGAGTCTTGTAGAAAACTCGAAGGTTATAATCTAGGTTATTTTTAGCATAAACTTTTATACATAAACAATAATAAGCATAGCAGTCGCACATTTTTTCTAATATGTCATCCGTCATATTGATGAAAATGATGAGTTTAACTTGAGTATTATTTGGGGATCATATAAAGATAATGATTTTAACTTAGTCTCATTTTATTGTTATTGTACCTTATTTTTTGACATTATTTTATAAAATTATGTTTTGGACTTAATTACGATATTTATGAAATTACGAATTACTCATATTCTTTTATGTAGTAATGAGATTTGTTACTTGAATGTGTGTATATTTTTATTTCTTTTTACTATATATGTTATTTTGTGAAGTATATATAATTTAAATGTTCAAAATAATACCCGCAAATTATATCGGATTTTTTTAAACAGATATCGTATTATACACGCATACGTATTATTAACACGTTTTTTAAAAAACAACGTTTTCTTCAACGAATTTTAACCGTTTTTCATGCATGTTACCAAATAAAACACGTACATATTAAACCTTTTTTATTTACGTGTTGTATTTAACTAACTAGGCTCATAACCCTTACCACTGCCCCTATCGTGACCCTACCCCCACCCCAACCTCGTACCCGTACCTCCGTTACCCCGCCCACCACCGTAATCCGTCTCGTACCCCTCATCCCCGCCTCCTACCCCTTTCCCTCCCCCGTTACCCCCTACCACGACCCTACCCCACTCTCCCTTACCGTACCCCTAACCCTTCCTACCCCTTACCCCCTACCTCGTACCCATACCCTTACTCCTACACCCCTACCTCTACCCCAACATATTCAAGGGTAGGGGTAAGCATAGGCATAGTAGGATTTACATTTTTTTTACGGTTGTAGTTGGTGGGAGTTAATTGATGTCAATATGGTTTTGTATATACTCCCTATAAAGCCGTGGCTTCTGAGTAGAGGCAAATTATTACAATTTTGCTATAGGTACCCCAAACCCTACCGCAATTGTACCCCATATAAAAACTCACCCCCACTTTTCTTCTCCCCCTTCCTCTCTCCTTCACCCCACCTCTCTTCCTCCCTCCCTCTCCTCTTTTCACGCACCCCCTCCCTTCCCCTTTCTTCTCCATCTCAAAATCTTTCCCATTTTTACCATTTTTCCCTCTTCCAATCTTAAATCTTCTCCTGCTTATCTCCACTTCCACCGGTGACGTTGCCGACGGTGGGTCTACGCCGGTTGCTGACGGCGGGTCTACGCTGGTTGCCGACGGCGGGTCTACGCCGGTTGACGACGGCGGGCCTACATTGGTTGCTATTTCGGATGCAACCTCAAGGGAAGACAACGACGAAGGCAACCCAAGAAGATTTGAATAACTTGAGCGGCAAATCTTCTTTTCTTGATTTTGTTTTCTTCATTTTTGATGTATTTTCGAAATATAAAGGGTTGTCTGTCAGACAGACAACTTGTAAGTGCAGTGTCTGTAAGAGTCTTGAAATTGTCAGTCATTTGAAAAATAAATGTCTGTAATTGATATTTAATTGTTTGTCATTTGTTTGTTAGTTGTCTGTGTTTGTTTTGAGTTGTGAAGTTGTCTGTAACTCATACTTAGTTGTTTGTCATTTCATTGTGAATTGTATGTAATTTGTGGTGAAAATAATGTCTGTCTGGTTATCTCTATTGTCTGTCTAGTTATACGTATTGTCTGTCTTCTTTATGAAACATATTCCAAAATGGTAATTCACAATAAAGTAATGTCTGTATGTGTATACTTATTGTCTGGATGTGTATAGTTAATGTCTGCCTCGTTATACTAATTACATCTCAAAAAATAAACATCACAAAATACAGACAACTCAAAATCAAATACAGACAACTCAAAACAAATACAGACAACTCAAAACAAATACAGATAATTAACCGTCAATTACAGACAGACAGACAACTTCACAACTCTTACAGACTTCTCACAACAACATGACAGACAACTCGAAACAAATACAGACAACTCGAAACAAGTACAGACAACTAACGATCAAATGACTGACAACTTCACGAGTCTTACTAACAAATATAGACACTGCACTTACAGTTGTCTGTCAGACAAACAACCCCTTTTTTCAAAAACACACCAAAAAATCAAGAAAAAAATAGAGAAAAGTAGATCTTCTCAAGTCATTCAAAGCTTCTTGGTCTGCACTTTCGTCGTTGTCTCCCCATGTCAAGCTATCCAACGTCACCCAGCTCTCCCCTTCGTCAGATCTACTGTAGCTCTTGCATTTGAAACGGAAAAAAAACAGAAGAGGCGAGAAGCAGGAGAAGAAGCTCGGAGGGAGAAAAGATTGTAAAAATGGGAAGATTTGATGGAAAGAAATGTTGAAATGGAGAAGAAATCAAGATTTGGAAAAAGAGAAAGAAAGGGGAGAAGATTGGGGGAGGGGGGCTGCGTAAAAAGAAAAGAGGGTGGAGAGAGAGGGGAGGTGAAGAAAAGTGGAGGAGGTGAGAAGAAAAGTGAGGGAGGGGAGAAAGTTTTTATATGAGATAGGAAATGAGGTAAATTTGGGATATCTATAGCAAAATTGAAATTATTAAGTTTATACTATGGAATATCTTCCGAGGGACTAGGGAGTATCTTTCGATCTGTATTCTGAATGTGAAGCCGGGCCACCATATATTTCTTTTAATTCCAGTGCACAAAATAATGATTTTTTCCAGGTTATTGTCCAAGGTTGTGCTCTCAACTATGACTTCCAGCAATAACAATATGTCCAAATTTCATAGAAAGTTACAAGTTTCAACCTCCTCCTTAGCCACCAAGACATATAAGGTTCATAAAACCAAGAAAACCAGAGTGGGTGAAGCTCAGAATCTTAACTCACTCTTCAATGAAATCTGTGACATTTTAGGTTCCGAGAATACAATGAGTGTTGAAAAACAATCTGGGGCTGCGTTACCTGGAAGTACTCATCCAGAGATTGTAGCTAACACTGTAGGAAAAACGCCTTGCACACTAGATGTTTGTGAAAATGCCAATGAAAAGGAAATATTACTCTCCTCTAACAATAAGCTAACGGGGACCTTTCGTGAGTCAGATATTAGCTCTACTGTTCATAAAATTACTGCAATTGTTAGGGATGAAAATGTAGCCGTGTCAATGGAAGAGCGGTTGACGAATGCATGTTTAGAGTATAATGAGGAGATAGTTGAGAAGGTTCTGAAGAGGTGTTTCAAGGTTCCTTATTTAGCTTTCAGATTCTTTAACTGGGTGAGATCAGTAAAAGCATTTCGTCACAACACCCTGACTTACAATGTGATGATCTACATGGCGGCAGAGGCAAAGGATTCTGGTCTGGTTGATGCACTTTTGGAGGAAATGGTAAAGAACTCATGTGAGAAAAATATTAAGACATGGAGCATTGTTATTTCCCATTGTGGGAACACAAAATCAATCGGCAAAGCCCTTTCAGTCTTTGAAAGAATGAAGAAACATGGCCCCAAACCGGATCTATTGTCTTATAAACTCATGCTGAATGCCCTATGCAACACTGGAAAGGCAGACATTGCATTTGAGTTCTACAAGGAAATGAAACATGAAGGCATGTTCTTGGATGAGCGCTCATTTAAAAATTTACTAAAATGCCTGGCAGCTTTTGGAGATATTGTTGAAGCCCACATTATCATTAATGATATGATCAGAACCTTAGAAGTATCAGAACATGGAGTCTATGGTTTGATGCTAAAGACGCTCTGTATTTCGGGTAGGATAAGAGAAGCTTTAGAATTGATTCGTGAAATGATGAATAAGAATGTAAACCTCGAGTCTGATGATTTTGTGACATTAGTCAAAGGACTTTGCAAGGTAGGCATGATTAATGATGCACTGGAGATTGTTGATATTACAAAGAAAAGAAATGCAGAATATAGGAATCTTTACGATATCGTACTTCATGAATACTTGAGGAGAAATGAATTTCCAAAAGCACTTGATCTGATGCAAAAGATTAAAGATCTGGGACATCTACCCTCACTTGCTACCTATACTACTTTGATGAAGCACTTTTTCAGGGCGAATGAGTGTCAGAAAGCTGTGGGACTGTATCATGAGATGATGGATAGAGGGATTGGTTTAGATTGTGTAGCCATGACTGCTGTTATTACAGGGTACTTACGTCAAAACTGCATATCTGAAGCGTTTGAAGCATTCAAGGAGATGAAGGATAAAGGCATTAAACCCAGCAAGAAATTTTATAGCATTTTCGTCAAGGAACTTATCACAGTTTCTGGCACCAACGGTGATATTCTGAAACTCTTGAAGGAATTAGAAGAAGCTTCAAAACTCGAACCTGGAGATGATGTTATTCAACATGTCATATCTCATTTGAAGATGAAAGGAGAAAAGAATAAGCTTAATGGAAATCGTGAAATCCATCTTGAAGGGAATGCCAAACCGAATGCAGCAAAACCAGAAGGAGAGTCCTCAGATCATCACTATGATGCTTGCTGGATCAGTCGAATATTGTCATCTTCCATGGATTGGTGGTTCATAAAAGAGCAACTGGAAAAGTGCAGTATACATTTTACACCAGAAGTTGTTACTGAAATTCTGCACAACTCCAGACTGCATGCTGGTATGGCTTTACAGTTCTTCTCATGGGTTGGGAACCGTACTGGTTACAGACACACAACAGGGTCCTATAACATGGCCATTAAGATCGCAGGACAGGGGAAGGACTTTAAGCAGATGAGAAGCTTATTTTATGAAATGGGGAGAAAAGGGTGCTCGATAACATGTGATACATGGACAATCATGATAATGCAATATGGACGAACAGGCCTCACCCACATTGCTCTCCAAACTTTTCGAGACATGAAAGAGAGAGGTTATAACCCTACCGGAAGTACATATAAGTTTTTGATTCTATGCCTTTGTGAAAAGAAGGGTAGGAACGTCAATGAAGCAGTAAAATTATTCAATGAGATGATTGAAAGGGGTTGCATCCCTGACAAAGAGCTAGCTGAAGCCTACATAGGTTGTTTATGTGAAGTTGGAAAATCAAATGATGCCAGAAGCTGTGTTGAATCTTTACAAAAAACTGGTTTCACTGTTCCTTTGAGTTATTCTTTGTATATTCGGTCCCTTTGTCGGGTTGGAAGGTTACAAGAGGCTTTTGAATCGATTACTGAAGTTGATGATGATGACGAACAGCGAACTCTGGCCAAGTACACATATGGGAGTCTAATTCATGGATTACTGCAAAGGGGATCTATAAAAGCAGCATTAGCAAAAATTGAATCTATGAAACAGATTGGCGTCCACCCCACTATACATACATATACATCTTTGATAGTCTACTACTTCAAGGAGAAACAAATAGAAAAGGTGTCGGAGTGTCTTGAGGAGATTAAAGAGTCTGGTTGTGAACCAACACTTGTGACTTACTCTGCACTCTTACGTGGCTACACAAACTTGGGGAAGGTTGCTGATGCTTGGAGCGTTTTTCAGCATATAAAACAGTATGGCCCATTTCCTGATTTTAAAACATATTCAATCTTCTTATCTTGTCTCTGTAGAGTAGGTAAGTCTGAAGAAGCCCTTCAGCTAATTACTGAAATGATGAACAACAGGATTGCTCCTAGTGCAGTAAACTTTAGAACAGTTTTTTATGGTCTCAACAGGGAAGGGAAACAGAGTTTGGCTAAACGCGTGTTAATGAAAAAGTCAGATCTTAAAAGGATGAGAACATTATCAATATGATATTTTTATTATTATCAGTGTTGTAATATGTGCATTGGTTCTTGTATGTACTTGCATGAATGTGTGCCATATTCAATTTCAATAGCATTTCTATTAGCAATATACTAGGCCCATATTTAGTCTGTGACTAGTATACATAGAGGCTTTACTTAATCAATAATAGCACACAATTTCAAAACCAATTACATAAGGCTCTGACAAGGTCAAGGGCCGAAGGATTCTCCGCATTGGACAGCATGATCACAGGTTCCAGGGTTTCTGTCTAGGACCTGCCCGCCACATCCCTACAACGCTCATAATAGACACATCTTACATGCACTTTTCCCTTGAAAGATTTATTATATATTAAAAAGCAGAATTTCTAATTTCTTAAGTTGAAATCTGCTTTATAAAAGTACAGCAGCAGTATCTCTGCTCTCTAGATTTCCTTCTACCAGACATATCTTCTTTGGTGATGGAATTTACATTAGTAGAGTTCAGGTTACTATCTTCCATTGTTATGTTCTGTAAAGGCATCCCAGCTACTTTCTGATCTTCCAAGGAATGTGAATCAGCACATTGAAGTTCACTGGAATTGGCAATATATGCACTGGGTGATAAGACTGGTGCTATCCTATTATGGTTCGTCTCCCTTGGGGACGAAATGGAACCTGGAAGCCTACAAAAGAATAATCAAACCAACTCAGGGGTTGTTTGGAACTCACCAAATACCAGGGAAAGAAAATCATAGAGGAAAATTAAAGTGTGGGGGACATAAAAGATGTAAAACTCAAATAGATTTATTTAAGAAAACTGTTCATAATCATGTTTTTATTATAGTTATGCTGAGAAAATTGCTATAAATAAGACTAAAATGTAGTCATCTTCCAAAATTATGAACACGTTTTTTAAATAGGACTTAGCTTTACATTTCAACCCCTAATATATAGGGAGTAATTAACTAATATAATTAATTGCCTCCTAGTCCCCCTAACACAGCCAAGGCAGTCCGAGCAGCGGCAGAACACCGGCGGCAATCGGCGGAAAATTTCCGGCGTCCGGCAGTCCAGTCTGGTGGCAGCACTGCTGCTCCAAACCCTAAGGGTATTTTTGTCCAATAGCAAATAATAAGTCTTATTTATGGAATCTTAAACACTAGGTCATAATTTTGAAAAGTAGGCATGTTTTGGTCCTAGTGGAAATCTGCCCAAGAATATTAAGTAGTACTAAAGAAAGCTTAAAAACATCGCAAAAAAAAAGCATAAAATAAAAGTATGACTAAAATTGTCACTGCAAGTAAAAAATTCCAACAAGTCACCCCGCATAAAATGGCGAATGCACACTAATGCGCTCAGGTTTTTGTCCATAAAGACTAAGAATCTAAAATCTCAAAAAGTAAAAATAGTCATATTCCATTTTCTTTTGCATTCTTTTTCCTTATATTCTTTCCCTATTCCTAGCACTTTCGGGAACCCAAAAATATCCAATTGTTATACTGTAGTACTGTAGTACCATGCGTACTCCCTTGCACTAGAAATGATTCCCTTGCACTAAAAATGATGTAACTTTGAGTAAATTTTGTGTAATTTCATAGTATAAAAATGTTTGATGTAATGCATGTCATCCTTTGTGTAACTCATGCTATATTGTATGTAAATGTCATTATACAAGATGTAAATATGTATAAACAATGTGTAACAGATATTATAATAAATAGTGTGTATTTAGTGTAAACGTGACGGATTACATTATAAATTATATTCTGAATGTTTTAAAAAAATGTAATTAACTTGTAAATGTTAAATTATTTATCAAAACTTAAGTGTTTGATGTAAATGACTATACAAAATGTAAACCACGTGTGTCAAATATGAAAATCTTATACATTTTTGTTTAAACACAGTATGTAAGTATAAAATATTTTATTTTAAATGATAATACAAAAATACAAAATAATGTAAAAAAGTGCTTAAAATATGTAAGTATAATCTTTTTTGTGTATCGGTATATTATTCACCAATACAAAAGTTATATGTTTGGTGTAAACTACGTATAAAAAATATAAGTGTGATTATTTTATGTAACTTGTGGAACATGAAGAACTTTATTGGATTTAAAATATAAATCACACGAACTAAAAACTATAAAGTAGAGCTCAAAGAAGAAAATCTTATACATTTTTGTTTAAACACAGTATGTAAGTATAAAATATTTTATTTTAAATGATAATACAAAAATACAAAATAATGTAAAAAAGTGCTTAAAATATGTAAGTATAATCTTTTTTGTGTATCGGTATATTATTCACCAATACAAAAGTTATATGTTTGGTGTAAACTACGTATAAAAAATATAAGTGTGATTATTTTATGTAACTTGTGGAACATGAAGAACTTTATTGGATTTAAAATATAAATCACACGAACTAAAAACTATAAAGTAGAGCTCAAAGAAGAGTTGCAAACTTGCCAATAAAACTTCTGAGTGTTTTTTGTTTCGGATTGATAAAACTTAATTATGAAATGATAAAGAAGAAGAAGAAAACCTAGATTATTCGTAATTTAATTTGAAGATGAAGAAGAGCAAAATCACGATTGTGTGATTAGTATTTTGATGAGAAGAGGAAAAGAATTGAAGAACATAGAAGAAAGTAGAAAAAATGACAGAGCTGGCCGAACCAATTGTGAACAAGAAGAAGAAGCTATAGATTTTTTAACATAAACGATGCTGAGTATTGGGATGTACATAGCGGAAAAGACCAATTGTAAAAGAAGCATACACATTGTAAGAAAATACAAAGGTATAATTTGCAGAAAATATCCTAAGGCTAATGGGCAATTTTGTAGCCAAGGGAGTGAAAAACTTGTAATGCATCCTAAGATATTCGAAGAAAATAAAGCTGTTAAATAAACTTGACTACCTGGAAATATGATTGCCGGAGTTGATCCTATGTTCACATGAGGTAGTAATTTCTGTGGATTCCTTTCTAGAAAACTTTGAATCTTTTGTTTCATCACTACCTTGTGAGTTTTCTATGTTGGCTTGTATTGTAGATCTGATAGTATTTGCGTTACGAATGAAAGAAATGGCCTTTTCTAGTGTTGCTAGAGCTTGCTGAACCTCGGGGCTAATGTCTACTTTCTTGATTTCAGAGATGGAGACTTCCTCTATGATTTGATTCTTCCTAGGGGAATCTTGTTTCTGATAGCACTTATTAACAGCCCTTGCTTCTCCACTGTCTTCCTCATTATTTTCCTCAATCTCACCACAAATCTTCTCGCCCTGGACTTCATGTTCATTCGTTACATTTGTTTGTGAATCATTGTTTTTGTCCCGGTCTTCCACTTCAAAATCCCCATTAGATTTGCTATCTGAATAAAGAGCCTCACGGATGCGGTTGTACTGCAGATCCTTTAAAGCCTTGCTAAAATCTTCATCACCGATGGAAACAGAAGCCACTTCCTTCAAAAATTGCACATGAGGATAAGCTTTAGTGGTATAAAAAATTGATGATTTATGAGTAAAGCCCACGTTTAACAAGGGATGAGATGGTTAAATCTGCTAATTTTTCTGAATGGAAAAACAGTAAACAAAATCTATTTCATCTAATTAACGGCCCATTTGGTATGATGTAAAGTGAACACTTTACATGTACGGTGTAGGGAACTATATATTTTGCACCATTTCTTCTAATTATTTGATGTAAACTGTATGACACTTTTTTAAAATATTTTAAATATTTTACATGGGGAGGGTAGTAAACTACTTTATATAGTCAATTTAAATACATTGATTTAAACTTTTACAATTCAGTCCTAATTTTGAAGACTTGAGTGTAGCGGCAAAAGAAAAACTTAGTGGCAACCTTAACTAGTTTCCTCTCCTATATACGAAAAGAAAATCGTCGACCATATCATCAAAAATATTCTCCAGTTGCACATTCCAAGAGGCAAACTTCTGGTTTTCTTTTTTAATTTAATGGCATGTATTTATTTTGAGATGTTTGTGTGTAGAAATTGAAGTTGTGGGATGATTGCAGAACTTGAGTCAATTAAATGCATCAATTTTAAGGGTTTTCTGTCAAGTGAGAATAGAACTTGAAACGGAAGATTATTATTTTCACACCATTGCTTCCTATGCACCGTGTATTGTTGTTGATCAAAGAATATGCAATGGGGTCGGATGTATGCAGTCTTACTCCTGCACTAAAGCAGGGAGAGATTGTTTTCGGAAAACGTAGAAAAAACATAAAAGAGTTAATTAAACATAATCAACTGATGTGCTTTTATTTTATGTGCAAAGTGATTAGTGCCCGGGGCGGATCTACTTTGTTAATAGCGGGGCACGCTTTTCCTTTAATAAAATAAATATATATGAATTTAAATAATTTATTTCAAATAGGAGGAATTTGCACCCCAATAATTTGTATTATATGCCTCCAATAACTCTTTGGTTCAATAAGTTACCCAAAAGTAAAAAAAAAATTACTTTCACATTTCCATTCCTAATGAAAATGTTTATGAAGTACAACTAATATTTATCTTTCTCACTTACTAATATTATAAATAAAAATTATTGTATTAATGCGGGTGATACGATCAAAAAAATTGTATTCATATTTTTCTAAATATAAACTAATCTAGTGCTATTAATTATTATTCATAACAAAAATATTACACTTATAATTGTGGTATTTAGAATAAACCCAGTTAATAGGTACTACTCCTATTAATGAGTTGATGAAGTCTTGATAGACCATCTAGACATAAGGTACGACGTGTGATTTAAATGAAATGTGCGAACTATGTCTAAGATTAAATTTATTACAAAATACAGGGAATTTTTTTTATTATTTCAGTATATAAAAAATGTGATGAAATAGTTATGTTTGAACTAGATCAATATGGGAATGTTATATACATTTCTTTTGAAATTTTAATGTGTGAACAACCAAAAGGGCTCTAAGTGAAAAGCTATGCATTCTGTTCATAATAGAATAAGCCAATTATAGCGACGGAATGAGGCCTAAATTCTGCTCGTAGCATATACATAAATGCATAAGCATGCGGGAATGAGGCCAAAATTTGGAAAACAGTATTATTATAAGTTAAAAATTGGAACACACCTTCTTATAAAGCTTGAATCCACTACCAATGAGCTGCCTTGAAAAAAAATTGATTAATGGTGGAGGGACAAAATCCAATTTGATATCCATGTTGGCAATACTGCTGTAAAATTTCAAAGCAGCAATTTGACTAATGGCTCAGGTTGTAAAACTGTACAACTATGTGTGACTACATTTTATGATTTTATCTCTATGTAATCAGGAGTCAGCCAGTCAGGACACCTAACCGGAAGTAGCTTCTGTTAGTAGAAACTTTCTGCATAGCAAAGCCTCCCACCACATCAATCCTCACAACATCATCTGCATCAGTCACTCCATCTCTGCAGAATCCATGACTACTGTACTCAACATTCTTAATGTCCGATATCTGCTCGAACAAGTACAACTATAAAGGTTTAAATTAAAAAAAAAAGTCAATTACATTTGCATGTATAAATTCATTGTTTTTACCGAATTGAGGAGCACAACTATGAGATCTTCTTGAAAATAGTTGAATTCAAAGAAGTGTATAAGAGCCTCCCTTGTCGATAGTGGCCATGGAAGCTTCATCCTTTCTTCCAAAGTAGATTCACATCATAAAATTTAAGGGCATATAATAAATTACAGTACCCCCAAAAAGAATGTATCTACGTAACTATAGGGGCATACAGCATACCTTACTACAGATATTTGTTCACCAACTCTGACCTTCTGTAAACATTGAGAGTAAGACACTTTAAAACTTGGAACTGTAGTTTGGGGCCACCTGATCACAAAAACAGAAGGGGATCCAAATCTTAAAATTTACTTGGGAGTTCAAATGTCATGTGAGCATAATGTATCAAAACCTTAAATAACTCCATACCATTTCTTGTACAGGTCTGCTTCCCATGAGATGCAAAGACCTGAAATTGAACAGTTGTATTGAAGTTTAGCACGAAGTGTGGAAAAAATTAAGACTAATGAAGTCAGAGTAGTTTTAGCTTACAAACATCAAGTGGACCATCTACAAAGCCCTCGACTAAGAGTGTATGAAAAGGAGTGCCGTCAGCTCCTTCTCTATACATAACACGATAGTCTTCTGCATCCTGCTTTATCTGTGAACTCCAACAAGTTCAAACTTGAGATATCTTCATTTACCAAATACCAAGGATCAAATTTGGATGGAGGGTCGAAGTCCTATATCTTGATTGATATATACTCGGTTTTTAGATTTTAAAAAATTTGAAAGAATTACACGCACTTTCTATTCATTTACAGAAAAATTTGATCTGTGATCCATAAGGTTTAATCACGGATAAAAATAAAAAAGGGAGATTTCCCAAAATAGGAGTAAATGGAGTTTGGAATTCCAAAATAGGACTACTATGTTTTTATTCCCGAAATAGGACTAAAATGACAGTATTTGCTGCCATGTTGTAGGCATGACTGTCAAATAGTTGCAGTACAGTGTATTTATCATGGCGGCATTTTTCATACATGACAGTAACAACTTCTATTTCGGGAAGAAAAACACAGTAGTCCTATTTTGAAATTTCAAACCTCGTTTACTCCTATTTAGGGCAATTTCCCCAATAAAAAACTAAGCCCTCCAAAGTCCTCCCCTCTGAAATCCTCCATCCAAATGGACCCTACTTGAGGAGATCAAGAATTTAAGAACAAGCAGCAAATTTCTTCTAGAAACCCCACCCCAAACCTCATATAAGCACTCCAGAGAACCTTGCTTTGGGGTAGCATGATAGTCAACTAACACTAAAGTAGGGAAGAAAGGAAAGGAGGAAAGAAAGGCACTTTCTATTGTTTAACATATGAATAACATGAGAGAAAAAAGGTAGTGTCCACAACCTCTTTCTTTCTTTGATTGGATGAGAAGAAATGGAAGTTATTTCACATTTTTATTTTTACCTCATTCCACTAATCTTTAGCCAACACCCTTTCCCTTTTTCTTTTTTTACATATTTCATCCCATTTTCTTTCTCTCTTGATTCTACCTTACCAACCCTAACACAACAATCCACTCCTTTTATCATACATCTCTTTCTTTCCACTTTCTCTCTTCTCTAGTGAATATGGATAACTTTAGCTTACTTTCCAACCACCATGTGAAACATTGGAAAGCTTTGACTCATCGCTCTCAGCTAACGAGGCACTTCTTAACATTCCTAGCGTGGCGGCTAACTCATTGGTTCTTCTTTCTACCACATTGTCTACAAACACTGCAAACCAAACATACGTTTGTCTCCTTACTCTTTATTTTATGCGTAATTTCTTTAATTAGTAGAATACCAGAGACCCGCACACACACCTGTTGCTTCAAAATTTGATGAGTTTAAGATTTGATTCTTAACGCGGCGCTTAAGTACCTCCTTGTCTACAAGATCATGGCATGACAATGTCTTGTCAAGACGATCTCTATACTCCAAAATGTTTCCCATCTCCACCATATTTGCATCAGACATCAAAGTAAAACCGTGCTAATAGTTCTGAATGGACAAATAGACAAAGTAGAGACAGAAATATTAATATTACGTTTGATTTTATATCACGAATAAAAAGTACAATTAACTAATTGATAACCATATATATTACCTTAGATAGATTACTTAGAGACAGGAAGTACGGGAGTATAAGATATGTGTGTGCATCAGGAGATCATCTGTATAATTACTTAGGACACAATAGATATACTCCGTATTTTTCAGTGTATAGCTTTTTCTTTTGTTTTTTAAACACCCAGCAGGAACAAGCCCGGACAATTTGTACACCAGATAGTTTTCTAGCCTTATTCACCAAATAGATTTAGAATTGAGTCTCATGCTGCAGTTATTACATGTTGCAAGGGGTTGCTAAAATGGTACTATATGAGGACTTGTTTGGGGTAGTGGGTGCCTTTAGGTCAGCACCGTCCCAGCCTCCAATATTATGATATATGCTGGACCAAAGACTCAAGGATGACGACGACCCTTGAATCAGACGTTGACCGTTCAGAATTCCCGAACAAGACGAGGTCAGGAGGTCTGATCTTTAGATTTGTGAGGGCCATGCTGATATGATGGCGCAGAGAAAACGGGCCCAAGCCCTCCTTCCCCTTGTCTCAGCGGAACCCACACCATCCATGGTTGGGGACAGCCCGTCCAAGTTCTAATCAAGCTAAAAGCAAACTAATCTTTCCCTTGCCGTAAAACTGCCCCTCTACTTATAGAAATCAAAGGACTTTGCACTGAAACAGTACTCCAGAAAAGCTCAAAAACAGACAACCAGAAGTTCAGACTCAATTAATTAGTGCACTAAAAACGAAAGCTTCCGATCACAGTGAACATCAAATAACACCACATGCTGAAATCCAAAAAAGTCAAAAATCACAATCACCAGTCCAAAATTAAACACAGTAACATTCAAGAATCCCACAAAGCTGCTGTTATTTAAGGGTCGGACCATACAACACACATGAACTTAAGAGATATATGAGTAATTAAAAATGACAACTTTGAGTCTTTGACAAAGAAAAAAACAAGAAATAGATGTAAACTCGCAAAAACTGTAATTTTGAAGGATACCAGGTGGAAATAAAGAGAGAAGAAGATGATGATGATCATGATATATTGATGCCTATCATCATCTCAGCGAAGAATTGACAGGCCGGGGACACGATGAGCTGATTCGAGGCCAACGACGTGTACTTTTGTTAGCCATACTAGTGTATTAGACGATTCTGACTTATGAGCCGTATGGATTTGACATTGAATACAAGTTTTTTACTTCTATTTTCATGCAGCAACAACGTAAATAAAAACAACTGTCATATTTTTTTTTAACGAATCAATTTAATAACACATTAATTAAATTATTATAAGTAATGTTTTTCTTCTAACTTTTTTTGAATAATTATGAAATAAAAAATACAAATTTTGATGTAAAAATAAATAAATTTCATTAATTTTTTTAGTATTTTTCAGTTAACAGAAAATGGATTTAGTTCAAGTAAAGTTCGATTATGGAATATTCAATTATTGGTGAATTTAAAATTTGTGTTTCCTGTTTTTAGGCTCAGAAAAAACTTCAACAGTTAAAACTTCAAAAAATTTATCATTTTTATATATTATGTATTGGTGTCATATGAAAGATAAATAAAAATTCATGAATTTTGATAACTTTTTTTATAAAATTTGGATTAGAAATAAAAAAGTTATAATACATTTAAAAAAAATCTATGATGAACACATAACTCCACATTTCCGTCTCTCCCACTCTCATCCACACATGTCCACGATATTTTTTAGTTTTGACTTTTGAGAGTCCATCCTTCCTCTATATTTACCCCCTCCACCCCTTTTCATTTTTACTACTCATTATAGCCTACCACTACATAGAATTAGGAGTCCAAAAATCTCATCTTTAACATTTTAAACTCATAATTTTATCGTACGGGTAGCTCAGTTGGTCGAGTGGTGGGAAAATTGGACCAAATGAACAAAGTTCGAAACCCGCAGGGCCGTGTGGAGGTTACATAATCTGAAATAAGGCTGGACCTCTGGTGCGCACGAGTATAAGGTCTACCGCCGCTTTGATAACTGAGTCACCGTGATTAACCCCCTACCATCCTGTCGAGTGGGGGGCCTTGGGGTTAGGCATTCAACCTTTTTGGACCAAGAATACTCTATTAGCCACCTGAGGACCCCAAAAATTCATCTTTGGAGCCAAGAGTCGATGGCCTATCCAGATTTTTTTTTAAATTGTAATTAACTTACATCAAAACTTAATTAACATATTTCACAAATAATAAAGGGAAATTTGTTAAATATGTACTCCTACCATATATGTAAGATATGTCAATTGGATTCTTGTACTTAAAAAAACATTCAATTAAATCCCTTAACTAATGAAAATATTCAATTGGCATTATTAGCATGTTACTTCTAGGTTCTGATATGGATTTAGGATGTTTTTACGTGGACTGTTTTCAGTCCTAGATCAGATCAGACCAAACTTGACATCCGTAGTTATAAAATACACAGAGATCAGACATTTACCAGATCAGACCAATTCAGACCAGACCACCTCCGAGGTGATGACCCCCGAGGTGACTGTACGGACTGTAAGGAATAAATTTTACAATTTAGATTTTAATGATGTTGTACAATTTAGGAATTCAGAGTACACATATAGGCAATTTGTACTTAAAATCCTCTTTGTTGTAAGTCATAGATTAATCGACTGTCAGAATAGTTGTTCTGCCACTTCGAACAGAATTGCCACAACCTTAGAGTTGGGAACACTCAGAGTTCTAAGACAGAACTGGATCCTCAATAGGAACACTAGCACAACCGGCTACAATAGAAGCGCTACAAAAGAACTCCTTTGCACAGAATTGTCAAGTCCTCTAAATTTCCATTAAACTAACGAATTATTCTCTAACGACAAAGAGCACCTTGACGGAAGAAGTATTGTGCAATGCATTAAATGCTCATTTAATGCTATTCGTGCGTTAAGATATTTATCGCTCATGATTGACCACAATATCCAGAAGAATAATATTTAATACTCCCGAAATAGTAAGTTGTCAGGTCTACAGGACAAGCATTAAATGAAGCTGTCTTCTACACTCCAACAAGAAGACCACTACCAGTATAAAAGATACACGTAGATGAACTGGACGATCACGAACTTTGAAAAACAACTAGAGAATTCTTGAGAGCAAATACTACACACTATACTATACGCAAAAATTCAAAATGAGTGCTTGGAAGATATTATTTCAAATCCTTGAAGAGACTCTCAACACAAGTTCATCCTTTTTCTTCAACCTCTCCGAAATCTACATCTACACACCTTGTACGGAGTACATTGGAGGAAAAACCTTTGAACTTTTTCAAAGCATTCTTATTGCAAAAGAAGGGCGCCAAAGTAATGAGAGTGAAGTGGAGATATTTCAAGCAAACTCGGTGAAAAGGCCACTCATCAGGAAGTAAAGAAGTGCATCATAGGTGACAAGGATACTACACTTGAAGAGGACGTGGAGAGTTTCTAAAGTGCTAGTGTCTAAGTGTTGTAACGAGTTTTTACAAGTTTAGTGGAATAGTGGACTAGATGAACACGTTGTTCCTTGAACCACTATAAAAACACTTGGTGTCACTTACTTACTGCTTTTATTTCCTGCACTTAGGACTTGAACTGTTATGCTCTAAAGAGCTTGGACTTTGCGTTCAGCAAATCTTTCTCTGAGAGTTATTGAAAGTCATTCTGTTTTAGTGTGTTTCTGTAGGCTACCCGACCAGAACTAACATTCCACTGCAGGTCTGTTCTGTCCAGAACAACACATCTATGAGACACACGAGGTCTGCCTCATAATTAAGAAAAGAGAAATTGGGACCAACAAGTGGTATCAGAGCCTCCATGTTCCAGTAATCTTTTAGGTTACCCTTCGAACTAAGATCCACTTATTTATTGCCTTTGATATTTGTCTTACTTATATCATGGATAACACACTTTCGAAGAATGTTATGTTCCCAGTCCAGAAGTTTGATGACGGGAGAATACGCATGCAAACACATCTCGGTGCTCTACATGATGAGATGTGGGATGTCACTACTAGCGGACCAGCTGAAGTTGATGAAATCGGTTTTCAACAATCAAACAACAACAGAATAGAGAAGAAACAGATAGATAGCTCTGATTCAATACATAAAGATGTACAAATGTCGAACAATGTAAGAAATGGCCGTTGCTCTCCCTCTACAGAGAGAGAGCAGTGTAGAAAACTATTCTATCACTAGGATGCCTCTATGATTTGATACCTAGGATTTGAGTAAATTAGCTTCCTTTTATAGATAAGTATGTCTAATAACTTACGACTTACAAGGTGCTAATGGGTTGAAATACCTTTGAAGCTCATATTAAATATCTAGACAAAATTGCAACAAAAATTCAAAGATAAAACTAGATTGGACACCATAAAAAGTTCCAACAATCTCTCCCTCGGTGTTCAATTGGCATTGTAGCGTGAGTATCTGTCTTTGTGTCGACTTCTTGAGAAGGCTTTCTAAAGAAATCCTTGCAATCTCTCATTTGATATCTTCTTGGAAATTGGTTCTTGGATGTCGGGGGTTTGAGGAGTCTTAAAATAACACCTTTTTTTAAACTACTATGACTTTTTTTATTTATACTTCTATTGTTACATAAAATATACCAAATTCCTAACTTTTAATATTTTCCATAAGACACTAATGTTGCATATATAAAAAATCTATTAATTTGTACAGTTTATGATCGGTTTTTAGTTTGCACACTATTAATCCGAGTGATGGCTTAGAACAAAACTGCACAAATTCTAGCATAAAGAATAAAACAGCATAAATAAAAGTGATGGGATTTGTGCAGTTTTATTCTAAGTTATCACTCCTGATTAATTGTGTTTAATGCAAAGAACAATCCCAAATTGCAAAAATTAATAGATTAAATTTTTATTATTTTTATATATGCAATATTGGTGTCATATGAAAGATAATAAAAAGTTATGAATTTCGATAGTGTTTTTTTGTAACAATCAAAGTACAATAAAAAAGATATAACACTTTAAAAAACATATGTTTTTTAAAGTGTTAATTTTAGGTGGTTATTTTAAGCAAAAGTATCTTTCTATGCATGTCCACTATATATACGTATGAGTACTTATTTAGGTGGTGATTATCTTTCCATACTTGACTTGACATCCACTCATTAAATATTGTTTAAATACCTTATGGAAAGTATCTTTACTTGATGTGAGTGCATGATTTATAATTGGAAGTTGACCATAGCACTTATACTTGTTAAGTGAATTCTTTCTCTTGCTATACGGATCCTTGTTTGAAATATATTCCATATTTGATCCGTTGCATAGATTGAGAATAATATTCTGCCGTTTTAAGAGTTGGCCACAACTTGTTTTCTTTGGTAATAAATTTAAGTAGCTTGAAATATTCCTACTTAAATTAATCACACATGATTTGAGTAAGCCGTTGCATTTATGAAATAATCTCATTGTCCGTGATTGGTATGCTACTTTCGTGTATACGTGATTATAATATCTTAAGTATCTTAATATCAAGGCAAGTCCATAAATTTACCAAGCAACCAACTAAGGAAAGTAGAGCAACAGACGTCCTGCATGAAGCTATATATATGACGGAAGATCAAGAGAAGAGTGTGCGCTTGACCGAACAATTATAGATAGAAATACTTATAAGAGAGTATCAAGACCAAGGCAACTGGGCCTGCTTACAGAGTTCTAGATATAGTTTCTTTTCTCTTCTTTGTTTTGTAATTGAAGTTTGAGGAAAAGCTTAAGTGTAGCTTCCTCTGGTTGGGGTCGTGTGTGTGAGAGCTTTATTGTAAAGCTGAGAGGCTCTCTACCCGCAAGGTAGAGATGCATAACTCTTCCTAGAGAGGACATAGTTGGGGTGGCTCAAGGGTAGATTAGGAGAATTTACCTTGTAACCACAAAAGGCTTATTAGAGAAGTTGAAAATTCCTCCGAGGGAGGTCGAGGTTTTTTAATCCCTTTGAGCCAAGGGATTTTTTCTCGTTAAATCCTTGTGCACTTTACTATTTCGCATTTCCCTGAACCCCACACTAGAACTGTGCGAAAAACTGCCACGGTTCCACACACACACAATTCACCCCCCCCCCCCCCCCCCCCTCTTGTGTTGCTAACCGTTTCATCAATTGGCATCAGAGCCGGTCTTCGCCACATAAAGGT